GATTTTTGGGATTTTTTTCTTCATATTTTTTAAGTATTGTCTAAATGATTTCAATCTTGAAAATGGAAAGAATATCGTTGATGGAAAAAATAGAAGCAGTAACTGATGGGCAATGAAGTAATTCTTAGTGGTGATGTGGGACCCATTTGGACAGATTTGGCGCGTTTTGGTCACGGTAGCATGACATGGCAAAAGTTTTGTGTATATCATCACTTTTTTAAATTTTGCTCTCCACATCATCAAAAATAAAAAATAAAAAATGCCACATAGGCAAAGCTAACGGTTCAAATTAACAGAAGGACTAACGGAGTACATTTCATATAGTTGAGGGATCAAAAAAGTGTAAAATTTTGTTGAGGGACCAAAAATATGCATTTCGTAAAATTGAGGGACTAAATTTAGCATTTAACCTTAATTTTCATAAATAGGCATACTTAACCAACAAAATTCAACTTAAAATAAAACAAAATTTTGATCATGCTATTTAAATAAAATGAGTTTTAAATCCTACCACCATCTCAAAACTAGTAGAAATCATACTTTTAAATTATATTTTAAAACTAAGGACATATCCATAATTTCACTTACCTCAAATATGAAAAAGATTAAAAATTTGGGATGCATAAACAATTAAGAACCTAAAATTTATATTGAATAATAATAAGCTAAAATCTAGGATAAATTATAAAATTCCATATCATTCTTTAATCCCTATTATTTTAATTAATATTTTACTTAATTATTCAACAAGTCTTGAAACCTATTTTGTGATTAGAGTTAAGGTTAGTGAACCTTTAAGTATGAAAATTGGATGTTGGTGTTGAATGAAGCATTGCACCCAATTATGTTGCTATGCAACATCACACACATTGCTACCCAATGGCATGAGATAGATTCTACATTGCAACAGTTGATATCTAAAAATGAAGAGGAAAGCAACTAAAGCTAGGAGGTGATGGCTATTGTGAAAAGAATGGATTTTAAGAAAGGATTAGGGTTATGGTGGTAGATATGAAGTCTGCTGCCAAACAAGCAATTTTTATTAATGAAAATTATTTTTTATATAATTCCCAATTAAATCCCTACATTAAATCATTGACTTAATTAAAAATTGACAATTAAGCTCAACCATTAACTTGGTTCTTGCACATTTAATTATATAGAACCCAAGAAATCTAGGAAAATATTTACGTTATTACAGAAGATCTAATTGCCACAATTTTTTTCATATAATTGGGAATTAAAAAGATGATTAATAGTCATGATTTGGTATGGAGCAATACATAGTAAAGAAAAATTTTGGTGCAATGAATTTTTGCCATGTGCCAAAATAAAGATTAAATAGACTTTAAGCTCGACGAAGTTTGAGTTAAAGTAGTTTAAATGGATAAAAGAGTTGAATTTGAGTTGAACTCCTAAATATGTCCAAGTTTGCACCCAAGTAAGTGTTTTTATCAAATTAAATTGACTTTTTTATAGGAAGCTTTTTAACTTGAAATGGGAGGAGACTAGTTGTAATATCCCAAAATTTTGGGGTATTTTAGCATTAAATTGGGGATTTATATGAGGGAAAAATATTGTTTTGGGGCTTAATCATAAAATTTTAAAAAGTTGAGGGGCTAAAAAGAAAGAAAATTAAGATAAGGATGAACTGCTTTTTCTTTTCTTTTTTCTTTCTTTTCTTCCTCATTGCACGCGTGTCTGCTCTGTTCTTCTTCTCGATTCTTCCTCCCGACAAGCCCCCAAGCCACCGACTCTCTCCCCCTTGAAAACCCCGGTGAGATCTTGATGAAATTCCTTCCTTTTCTGGTTCAATCACAAGATTTGGGGCTTAGAATTCTCTCCCTCAACCCAGAAAATCCCAGTTCTGCTCTGCTCTTCTCCCCTGTCCGTCGGCTGCCATGTGGATTTGAATTTTTGGGCATTTTTTGGGTAAGCCACAGCCATGAAAATCATCTCTTTAGCTTTGATTTGGTTTGGGTTACTCTAATTTCTGTTTTGGTTCTTGAATTTGGGTTAATTCCGTGAGCTTCCCCTGCACTTGCCGCCGGCTTCTTCTCCCTGCCAGCTCCGGTTTGCTTGCTAGAATTCTGGTAAGTTGCCGGCTCTTCTAAGTCCAATTTATCCATGTAGTTGCTGCCTTGTGTTGATTGGAATTTCTGCTTTTGAATTGCCCTTTTGCTGGCCGAAATAGGGGAAGAAATTAGCAGCCTTTAAACGTGTTTTTTTGGGCTTAGTTCATGTAGAAATAAACCTGTTTTGGCTTGAAATTTAGCTGCTGTTCTGTGTAAAAATCCTGCTGTTTTGCCAAAGATTTCACTGTTCACGCGTACCAGTTAGTGTTCACGCAGAAAATTTTGCAATTTTGCTGCTGTTTTCTGCTCCTTTTCAGTCCGTTTCTGCTCTGAAAAATCTGATGAAATATCCATTTTTCTGGTCTTTTAGCTGGCTGTAGTTGAATTCTAAAAATATCAGTACTGTTCATGGGTACTGTTCGCGGGGTACTGTTCACACACCGAGGGTTAACGATTAGCAGGGACTTAAATGTTTAGTTTGTGATATAAGAACGAATTTGAAGATGTCTGGTCATGTGGAGATTGATAGAAATAGTACTATGAATTTGTGGTAGTGCGGTATTAATTCTTGGGGGTATTGTGATTAGGTTCCCGATCTTTAGTACGTGAATTGAGTGCTTGGTTTTGCGGAGTGAGGTAAGTAAATTATGGTAAAGCCCTTCGATTTTAAAGCATGTTTTAAATTGTTTTTGAGATGGTGACAAGGTTTAAATTGATTTTAAATTGATTTTATCAGCATCTGAATGTGATTAAACTGAAATGGAAATTTTGATGGTTTTTATGAGAATTTCACTGTTTTCTGGGATTGAACATGATTGGAGTGAAAATGGGAATTTCATTGTTTTTCTGGAATTGAGCATGATTGGAATAAAAATGAGAATTTAATTGTTTTCTGGAGTAAAGCATGCCTATTTGGAATTGACTGAACTATTTTGATGAACTGAGAGTTTGGTAAATTTCTAAGTTTTCTGTTAAATCCATGCCACATGGAAATTTTCGGATTTGTTCTGAAATTCGAGATTGATTGTGAAATTCGGGTTTTCCTGTAAACTTTGCATGGTTTTGTCTCGGATATAGTCATGATTACTGATTACTGTGCCCGCTAGTGGAAGGTTTATAAACGCTAGCACATGTCGACATGTATTTCTGTAAAACCGGTTCACCCTACCAATGGGGTTAAACATTGGTAATTACTGTCGCCTGCCAGTGGGAGTTGTAAACACTGGCACCATTACTGACGCCTGCCAGTGGGAGTTGTTAAACACTGGCACTTCTGTAACCTTGCCTATGGGGTTAAACATTGGCAACTACTATGCCCGCCAGTGGGAGGTTTATAAACGTTGGCCATGACTTATAGATGAGACTACTGAACTGAGTTTTCTTCTGCATTGACGGTTTGTCATGAAACGTTTTGTTATTGAACTGAATCTGATTTTGCATTGACGAGTTGTCATTGAATGCTTTGCAATTAAACTGAATCTGATTTTGTCACTGAGCGTTTTGGTTATATTACACTGTTTATCTGGCGTGCTTAAAAGTTTTACCTAAGGGCTATCCATATTTACTTACTGAGTTATCTCATAGTTTTACCTTGTCCATCATTTCAGGAAGCAAAACCGAAGACGGGGAAATCAAGGGGAGTGACGAGTTAGAAGGCTAGCCATTTTGAGATTGACATAGATTTAGAAATAAGTCATGATCCTGTAAGCTAGAGTGTATTTGGAGATTTTATGATATCAGAGCAGATTGTAAAAATTTTATCTTGAGATTTTGTGGTATCGGATTGTGGTTTGAATAAGTTCCGAGCCTTATGCACTTGTGGGACCCGTCTCACGAGTGCACGGCGTCTGTCGCGTCCTTAGATTTGGGTTCTAGGGCGTGACACTAGTTATTTCAAAAAATGAAGGGACTTGCTTGTATAGTGTTGAATAGTTCAATTTAGTTGAAAAAAATTGAGAAGAGTTGCAACAAGCATGATTCTGGGGATTTTTGGGCAATTAGAATTCTATTTTTGGTAACAAGAATGACAAGTAATAGAGGTTTGTTTTGAAAGGAATAATTTTAAATTGTTAAGATCTCCTTTGATTTAGTCAAGTGTGTTTAGGTGAAATCTACCATGAAAAGGGAAGACACAAAGGGATGAAAGAGAGGGTAATGTTGGAAGAAGGAATAAGGAAAGAGTCTGATGAGAGACATTTGTCAAATCTTTATCGATGAATTGTATATGCTGTAACTTTTTTTTTTTTTTCACTATTATTATTCATTGTATTGCCTTTCTATTTCTCTTTGGTTTGAACTAACAATTGTGGTTTTAATTTAATAGGTTTTTATTACAAGATATCAGCGGGTATAAGTAAGGAACAATTCATATACAAAAACACTCCTTTTCTTCGATTTTTATCTATTTGGTTAATTTTGGCTCAAATACTTCAAGAGGAAGGGTGAATTGGAGTCTTCAAATTTTTCTCCTTTTTACAACCACAAGATGAAAATAAATAAAAGAAGGGAAGAAAAGCTTGCATAAAGGATTTTATAAAGGTTCAATCCAACTACTTAGCAACTAATCCTCTATGTTAGCTTTACTCACCAAGTATTTCCTCCACACTCTTCACTAGCACTCGAAAGTAACTTAAAAGAGCTAACCAATCCTTTTACAAGAAAGGGATTTCTTTCAACCTCACCCCTTTCCAATGTAACCTAACAATCCTCACTACGAAATCATTCTTGAAGGAATAAAACACACTTCCAAGATGTCACTCACAAAATAATAGTGAAGGATTACAAGAAAAGGCCATTTAATGATCAAAACATACAAGTGAAAGCAAAAGATATTGATTGTTTACAAGTAAAAGCTCAAGTAGGTGGTTGGAATTCTTTAATGAAATATCTAAGAGCTTCATAAATGTATCCACGAACCTAATATATCTTCCTTAGGTCATAACTAGCTATTTAGGGACATTTGAATGCATTAAATGCTTTGCAAACTTGTCATATTTGAAAAACTAGTCATTATTCTACAATAAGATTTGCATATAGGGTCCAAGATTTGACTCTTCCACCTTAGAGTCAATTTTTCAAGAAATTTTGAAACTTCGGCTAATTTTCCTCAAGCAATTTAAGAGATGAATATTGGAATGAAGACTCAACTCTTTACCTTAAAGAGTCAAATCTTCACATGAAGATTTGATTCTACCTTGTACCTCAAGAATTGTAAACTTTATGAAATCTAGAGTCAAATCTTCCACCTCTTATAGCTGAATATTGCTAATTCAAGAGTCATATGCTTTCTAAGAGTCGACCCATCCTATGTTTGAACCTTTACTCTATTTTTAGCTCTAGAGTTGAATATCTAGTGCAAGAATCAAATCTTTTTACTTAAAGAGTCAAATATAGGGTTCTATAGTCCACTTTTCATATTGTTTTTGCTGTTTTTCCAAATTTCTCTTTGATGCATTTTGGGGTTTTTATAACTACACACTTCAAATCCATTAAATATCTTAAGGAGTTTTATTATCATCAAAATCATTGAGTCCAATAGTTAATACTTCCCTTTTAGCTCTGGAATTTGAATTTAATGTGTTAAGTTTTAGTTGATTTGAGTATATTTCATAGGATAACGAAAAGGCACCCCACCACTCATAGGCAATCTTAAACCTTCTCTTCCTTTGTTTAAAGAGAATGTTGTTAAGATCATGTTTTTATTGCTATTATTAACTACATGTAAAATGTGTTTAGAAATAATATATAAATACTTGATTAAATATAAAAAAAATTAATGTGTGATTGGTAGTTCTCACGTAGTGCTTTCTTTGACTACCTCCTAAACTACAATCTTACAATCTTATGTTTTCCTCTTCCTTTATGATTCCCTCTTAATTGTGCATTTAGATATAAAGGTTACAACATCTCTTCCTTTTTTTTCCCCTTGTTCTCTTTATCCTCTTGTCTACACCTTGAGCTTATTTTATAATTCAATCTTTGGTTATTGACCAATGGATATTGGCATGAATCTTACCATATTTCCTAATAACATGTAGATCCTTAGGATATTGTATGTTCTTTGCCATTTTAAGCTGGGGTTAGGTGTGCCTTTCTTCGTTTGGAGTTGATAACAAATATCAATACTAGCTTTACAATTTTTACCTATCATGACCTTTTGTCTTTGATGGGTGTTTGAACACGATGTCTTGCTCTACCCATGGCTAAGGGCGGGCAACATGGCCTATCTTGATGGGCAAAGATTTCTTGGCCCAATTTGCAACTTACAATAGTCAGGCCCTGCATTATTATTGTGGGTTCATCATTTGTGCTTTCAAAAATTTACACTCAGTTGATAATAGTGATTGATTATTTATATAATAAACTCACTTAGACTTCCTCACCGATGTAGGATTAGGATGTCACAATCCCAATCCACCCAAACCATCTCCCTACACCACTCAAACCCCACCGAAAGAAAGTTATGCTGAATTTTAATCATTTCACTCTAAACAACCTTTGGTGCTTTAAACAAGGACAACGTAAATAGGAAAAGCAAATACTAAATTAAGAAGCGTGATTCAGCCACCAAAGGACTAGCTTCTCCATTTGGCTAACTTTTTACAAAAGCAATTCAATACAAGTTCCCAGAATTTCCTTCTTCCTAGATTGTCCCCTATTATTAAACTGAGGTACATGAATGGTGTAGTGCTCATACACATTTACCAAATAATAATCCTTCTTTTCAACCTCCAATGCTCCATGCACTCCTAAAAACCCATCCCCTTTGAAGACACTAAATTTCCCGAACACCTGTTTGTCCCATATGCATAACAAACCCTTGATCTACTGACAAGCCTGTAAATCTGCCTAGCACTTCATCCTCATTCTCATGCGCATGAACTCTGATTTCCCTCCCCAATGCAAAAATTCTTCTAGCCTCTTCCATATTCAATTCTTGTCTAACAGCTAGATTCCGACATTTAATATTCCCATCAAACCAGGAAAAACCCTATAGCAAATTATTTCTATCCAAATCAAACAGAATTTTTTGACTCAAATGCCATTAACTTCTTTTAGTTCTATCCATCACCCACTTGAGGTTTTGCCTATCTTCTTCACTTATGGCATTAATAATTTTTGTTGCCAGCTAGATTTCGTAAATTACCTTCATTTCCTCAATTTAGTCGTCAATGTTGAATGTTGCCACGCCCCGCCCCCCCTTTTTTTCTTTATAGCCTGTTTCTGTTTTTGGTCGTCACCTAACAAAGCTACTTCAGCATTTCCACAATCTAGCACATTTAAGACAAAGCCCGTTACTCCAGTTTGTTTTTGCACCATGGTCCGTTTTTGTTCCCTTAACTTCTTCTATTTATCTTCTAATTCCTTAATTGAAATATTTTATTCAAATCTAATTCACACATAACTGAATTTCCATCCAGATTCTTCTCATCATCAGCCAATGATCATCCAGTTTAAATCTTCAAAATTCCCTTGATTCTTCAATTTATTAACCTTTGATAGAGGTATTTCTGTAATTAACTCTTCAAAACTACTCACATTTTCAAATTGATCAGAAAAATTATCAAAAAATTCATTTTCAAACTAATCTACACCATCATTTGACCTACCGTCAGTTTCATCAATTTGAAATTATAACTAAATTAATTGTGGAAATAAAATAAAATTGAGAAATACTTTTTAATTAATATGATATCAATAATTTAGGTGACTAAAAAGAAAAAATATATTGATTATTTTAATAAATTTAAAAAATAAAATTAATATAAAATCAATCAACTTTGAAAATGTAATGAATTCTAGAAATAAAATCAATTTAAAATTAAAATGTTACTTTAATTAATAAATATAAATATATTTCAATCAATTAAAATAATAATATAAGTTAATATTGGTATATAGTAGTAAAATATTCAAAAAAATGTTAAAAAGTCAACTTTTTTTAGTTTACCAATTTGATTGACTGATGGAACCAGTTAAACTGATTGAACATATTCGATGCTAAAAAACGGGATGATCACCGGATTGTGTTTTATGACATTGAAAAAACAAGTTTTGGAAAGATTTTGTAGGAGAAAAAGCTTAGGTTCCAAAATGACCTAAATTAAAAAGGTAGGGGATGGATTTTCGTACATTTAACATAGAAAAAAAAAAACAATTTTTTTTAAACCCAAATAAAAATAAAAATAAAGAAAGAAAGAGATAAAGCGGTACAAATTCTCGCACGGACGAAGCACACCTCGTCTGTCTCCGATTATCTTACGCGATCTCTGGTGCTCATCCCCGATCCTGGTAGACTCTCAAAACTGTCTTATTTTCTGTTAAATTTCCTTCATATTTTGTTTATTTCTTGAAGGTACTTCCATGTTGTTAGTACGTTTGTTCTGCTTATGTTTGGTTCCTGGGAAAATTTGGAAATAGGGGTAAAAGTCTTGAATAAGGTTGACGAGTATTTCTTCCTCAGCCAAAATATTGCAGAGAGTTTTCCGTCGTGTAAAATACTTAAATATGTAAATGTTTTGATTTTCCTCATAATCTAAATGTTAAATTGACTGTATACGCTTTTGATGATCATGGGAAATTTGATGGATAGTTTCTTAACGCTTTACTGGATGTTTTGTTATTTTCTTGTATTTGTTATCATTGATAAATTTTTTGGGGTGTTTAATGCGGTCTGGGGACCATCTCTCATTACTCTATTCGTTTTCTTACACCTTACAGAATTTGTGGTTTCTATTTCCTAGTTTTTTTTTTTTTTTAGTTAATAAAATAATTTTTCTGAGACCTTAATGTTTTTATCTATGTTAGATGTTATCAATTATGAGAATTAAGACTGACTCTTAACATGCACTAGTTTTTTCAATAAATATGGCTGACCCAGAGTCTTCTATTCCATCTCCTTTTGCTCTATTCTTCATTGTTATCTCCAAAAACTTTGTTTTCCAGGAATGATGGTTCTGAATTTTTACGCTATTACTATTACTGATTTAAACCAAAATGCTTTGCTGTATGAAATGCTTTGTCTTCTTTCAACACTCATATAAAAATTTCCTGTTTTTCTGTGCTTGGATGATTCAGCAGCATAAGCAATGTATTGTATTTTCTTCCAAAACACCATATGTTTGGTTGCATGGAATATTCTATATGGATGAAATCCCTCATATTTTGTTTTTATTTATTTATTTATTTTTGTTCGATATAATGTTAAATATCCTTTCAACTTAAAGGGAATCACAGTAGTAAGGCTTCATTTTGGTCTTTCTGTGTGCCTCAATATGTCAAATATTATTGATGTTCAAGATTCAAACAATAACTATAGTTTACTGTGAGATGTTTAAGATTCAAATAATAACTATAGTTTACTGCCTCACAGTTTATTGATGATCAGATTTTAGGCATCAGAAAGACCTTTTTGCTACAGCTCTTGGACGAGTACTGTTGTGTACAGCTGGATTCTTAGGAAGCAACTATGATGACTGAATCTTACCAGAACCAAGCTGAATGGCTGCTAAAGGAATATGTATTAGCAGATTCATTCATCCCATATACATCAGTTGTTTTTGGCATTTTTGCTTGTAAGATGGTATGTCCACATTATTCAAGTTTTCATCTGTTCAACTTTAAACTGTTTCTAGTCTAGTTAGGACAAAAATTAGCATGTGCTGTATGAAGTTACATTTTTTAGAACATGTATGAAGTTACACTATATCTCTCTGGACTCTTTTTTTTTTTCATTGCTTTTAGTTTACTGTTGTAAATCTCCCTCTCTCACAACCCTTCCTTTTCAGCTTATTTTTACCTTACGTTTCACCATGTTTATCTCTCTTATGGTTCTGCTATCTACTAACATAACATTTGTTTCTTTTCTTTAAGGTCTATGATGTCACTCAGTTGTTTAGTACAATTTATTTTAAGAGTTATTCCAACTTATCAAAGCTCCAACGCACAGAGTGGAATAACAGGTGAATCTGATTTTCAGTTAGTTTAAAAATCTGCTTGCTTTTGTACCAAATATAAATCTAATAACTGTATCAATTGGTCATGCAGATCCATATCAACAATGCATGCAATTTTTATCACAGTCATGGCTTTATACTTTGTCTTCTGGTCAGATCTCTTTTCTGACAGTCAACATGCTGGCTTGATCACTTTTCGTAGTTCTTCATTATCTACTTTTGCATTGGGGGTAAGGATTTTCCTCCTCCTTTTAAAAGCAAAATGTATGTTAGTGCACTTTTTTTTTCTTGCATTTTTTTTTTCTCTCACTTTATTTTACAAATAGAATATTTGAAGTTCATTATTCTTACTTCTAGTTTTTCTTTGAAGCATTAGCAAGCGTTTTGATGTTATGGTGTTAGTAATAATTTCCTCTGCCTTGTTTAGAAGTTTTCTGGAAAGCATATAAAATTTATTTTGTTTAATTTTCATTAACCTGAAGTTGAAGTGATGCGAATTCTATTACCAAATTTCAACTAACTGGAAAAATGATTATGCTCAATGTGAAAACCACTCTATAAACTAGAGAGGACTACAACCAAGAGTTGTGTTATAGGTGGCTGATACTCCAAAATAATATGCCAGACAACTATTTTAGAGCAATGGAGTTGATTGCTTTGGACTTGGGGGTCACACCTATGTTGATTGCTTAACACATAACTAAAGCATAATATCTGGAAAATAATACTTCCTATAACTATCTACTAACTGGAAGATACACACAAACACACACACACACACACACAAGAAAACTTATAGGCTAGGAATCAACTTACACTACTGTAAGAATTTTAACTTCTTAAATCTGCCTTTCTTTCTGTTCAGTTTATATTTTATGTTGAATGTGAAACTCTTAACATCAAATATAATGAAAGGCTCAAAATAAACCTAAAAAATTACTCACTAGAACAAGATCAATAAATGCAAACTATCAAACTACACATATTTAAAAGTAATAAACCAAACTTAAGACCCAAAAAATATTTATCGTAAAATTCTGAAATTACATGGCATCAAAAAAAGATCATTATTACATATTCTTCTAATAAGATATCCTCAGGAGCAGCTGGGATCATTATGTCAATAATTTCAAGCTTATTAAATGTTTAAGACCATAATGAGAAAGGAGATGAATTGAAGTATACATATTTATTCTGTCTACTTAACTACTGTGTAACTAATGCTAATGGTATTGCAAATGCCCACAATACTAGTTATAGCCTACATAGAGAAAGCGAGGGATGATATACCTGTATATTCATCTTGGTTAAAGTGCTCTTGGGGTTGTCTTGACAGGCTTCTGTTGGTTACTTCTTGGCTGATATTGGGATGATCATTTGGTTTTATCCTTCTCTGGGCGGAATGGAGTATGTAAGTAGTTAAGTATTTTATTTTATTTATTTATTTCAGTATAGTCAATTCCCATGTTTTGTTATTGGCTAAAATATTATATCTATCTCAAACTTTGATGAAAATTAAATGGTAGCCTTGTATTTCAATTTTGCAGTTTGTAAAATTCAATTTGTTTTTGCCAAAGCTCCTAATAAAAACTGTAAAAGTTGTTGGATCCTAACAGGTGCCTGAAAATGCCATACAGCGGTGATGTTGCATCTTATATGTATTGCCGTATAAACATATTTTTTTAGCCACTTTCAAGATGTGTTTGGCTGAAGGATTCTAAAGAGGGATTTTATATGAAGGAATGAATTTGAAATTTCTTTTCTCAATGACCTTCTTATCAAGAGACGTGAGAGATTATGGTTTAGTAAGAGGAAAATGAGGTACTTACTTTGTAATGGGCAAGGGTACCCCTTGTACTCCAATTAATAAAATTTACTCGTTGATCAAAAAAATTAAGAAAAAAAAAAAGGTAAGTGAAAAATGAGGATTTTAAGGATGGATTTTAAAACTCTGCCTTTTTAGTGTTTTAGTATTGCACCAAAACCTTTTTGCCAAAATAGTTCATTCTAAGTGGAAGTTGAAAGTCCATCCTTCTCCTTCATATGAAATGGTTGGAATCCCTCATTTTAGAATTCTTCATCCAAACACTACCTAAAGATTATCGCAACATTTTGATGATCTAATGCCAAATTAATGTTGCAACAGACACTGATGCATCCCACTTTTCCACTCAGCTATCATGATCTAGAGTTTAACTTATTAGTTCCACCATTGGTTTTGTTGATTGAATGAAATTAAGGAGTATGTTTTAAGCAGCATATTTAATAAATAAACCTGGAAGAAGCACTTTAAATATATTTTAGGTTTCTTATTGTTGAGTACTGATTTACTCTTTGCTGTTAATGTACAATTCATGCAGCACATTTTAAAAAACATTTCTTTTTCAGGTTATTCACCATCTTCTTTCAGTAGTATCAGTAGCATATTCTATGATGACTGGGGAAGGGCAACTTTACACCTTTATGGTGCTCATCTCCGAGACAACCACCCCTGGAATCAACTTGAGATGGTAATTTTATCCATTGTAACCCATCATATCAGTCAATATTATGTTTATTTTTCCTTTTAAATCTAATTTATTTTTGTTAATGGGTTGATGTAGGTATCTTGACACAGCTGGAATGAAGAGATCAAGGGCTTACTTAATCAACGGGGTTGTAATATTTGTTGCATGGCTGGTAAGTAAACTAACAATACATATATATTATGTATAGAGAGAATAGCACATATCAGTCTTGACTCCATGGTGTCCTAATTTAAAACTCCATCCTCTAATGAATGTTTAAAAAACAACCATTGGATCAAATGATCTATTTATTTACATAATGCATATCAATTTTCAAGTTGATCTAAATTCCATAATCATTTGATCAAGAAAATCTATTTTCAAAATATATTTAATAGTGTTAAGTTTTGTATAATCAATAAAATAGTTAGATATATTCAATTAATTTCAAAATTGACATACAGGATCTACTTGAATAGAACATTAAATCCAATGATTAATTTTTCAAAATATTAATTGGAGGATGGTGGTTTTGAATTGGGACTTCATAGAGTTGAGACTAATATGCACCATTCTCATATATGAATTTATATATTGTTTCTTTGGCTCTTCATGCAAAAATCTAAGCAGAAAAGGCTTTTTCAATCACTGTTGGTAAAAATGCCAGTCCAGACATGAAATGTCTAAAATGCCTTTCCATTATCTTCTCGAAGCCAGTCATACTTTACATATCAGTTTAGTGGGAGATTCTTCTCTTGCAGTTGAAATTAGTTGTCATCATCTCTAGACTCGCTTACTTTTTTCTTTTGGTGGAGACTTGCTAGCTTACCGTGGTCCTTTTGGCAGGTTGCCAGAATCCTCCTGTTTCTGTACCTTTTTTACCATGTCTACTTGCACTATGATCAGGTATACAAATTTATGCGAAATGTAACAATTAATACATTCAACCTGCATGTGATTTGCCTCTTCTGGCATATGTTTGTCCAAAATTCTGAGTGAAATTTTTAATTTTTTAACACATCTTGTATTCAGCCAGGAATTACTTGATCTACTATTTTAATATTTCCAAGACATCCCTGTGAATTTAATGTATTGCCTAGTATGGAGGGAAGAGGTTTTTCACCATTTCTTGCCCAAACATCTATGTATATGTACATATTAGCACACTTAATGAGACTGGTAATCTTATTACAGGGTTGAATTGAAGAAACCTAAAACTATGCTAATGGTTTTCAAAAAATTAATAGGTGTCCGTCCTTCAAATGCCTTCTCCAATATGGGGGAATCCTCTTTTACTTGATTGACTACTGAATCAATGCCAAGCGTTCGGATGACATGTGATGTGTCTCATTAAACAGGTTAAGCAGATGCATTTATACGGGCTGCTGCTTGTGTCCATTGTGCCACAGGTGCTTGCTGTCATGAACATGATGTGGTTTTGGAAGATTATCAGGGGATTGAAGAAGACATTAGCAAAGAGGCAATGAAGAAACATCAACCGGTTGACACTGGATAAATGACAAGCTGAGAGGGTGACCCTCTCTTCGGTCCTTCCCGTGCATTCTTTCTTTTAGTTTGTTATTAATCTGTAAATGATATAGATGGTATAGATAAATCTATGGAGTGGTATGGCCCGAACGCCGCAAATTAATAGAAACCAGAGGTGTTTATACGCGCAGAAACGAAAGCTTTGGTAAGAAACCATATCATTTCTGTTTTTATATGGTAGATTATCTTATCTTTACAGCCACAGACATTGAATTCATGCACCATCTTTGCATTAATACGGTAGTTTACTTCTCATGTTGATTATATCTGCTTTCATTATTTGAATATATTTGGCAAACGCAAATGAGAATTGTGTATATTAAGCCATAATAGCTATGCAATTTCTTATATTGGTAACAATTCGTGAGGGTGTGGGTGTGGACCATGTATTCAGACATTGATTGGCAATAACGGAGTCTACTGGTAATTTGCCAGACCCATGATTTAGATAACGGGGAAATTAACTACAATGCCTTTTTTCTTTTTTCTTTTTTTTTTTTTTTTAAATGATCAATATAGTTGGATATGGGATTAAATGAACGGACGCAGAATGTCCATGGTAGCATGACAAACATCGCTGAGGAAACGTCACATGCATTGCTCAAAAAGATATTGGGTAATCCTTACTACTTCAAAGTGTGGAACTTGACTAGAAGTTATGCAAAAGCTCTAGTTAAATAAATAAATGTGCCATGGTCCAATGATTATAGCAAAAATAGGGGTGCATTCCTATGTAGAGGTCCAATTATCTTTGGAAAAACATTAGAAACTTTCCACAATTAAGGCCAAAAATGTGAGTTTTTAATTAAAATAAGAACTAAAAGTAGAAGTTGAAAGGGAGAGATTGAATGACAGAAATTAAACTACTTGATGTTGAGCTCCTATGATAATTTTAATGAAAACAGAACTTTTGTAAAAGTTTAATAAGTTTTGTAAAAGTGTGTAGGACCAAAGGAAAGAATTTTAAAGAGAGCTCATATAAAATCAAGCGTTCATGCATTGCAATAATGACCTCTACTCATTTTATTGTCTCCAAAATCTCTCTTTCTGGCTTGCTCAAAGTGAGAAAGAGGTATTCCCAACGACTCTCGTTATTGCCAAGTGTGGATCTTAGTTGTGAGTTAATGGGAGTTAGCACTAGTTAAATTATAAGATGTGCCCTAATCAGATGATTGTCGCAAAAGCAAAGGTGCATTCAATAAAGTTGAAAGCATGAAAAGTTCCCCAACAACATGAAATATAAAGTAACAAAGATGAAATAGAGAATGAATTTGAACATCAACATTGTTTATTTAACTAACAAAAGTACTTAGAAAAATTAAAAAAGAAAGAAAGCAATTCGATTATAAAGAACTACCACTAGAGGTAGTGAATCTTGCCTTTACAAAACCAACAAAAGGAAAGCTGAATTACTTCAAATTATAATGAATTTTTGGAATTCCTAAAGGAAAACGCATGAAATTAAGGCTAGAAATTAATGCAAGTTAAGGCGTAGAGCTAAAACTAGACTATAGCTTGAAATTAAGATGAACTTGAGCATTGAAAAGAAATAGTGTTGGGATTGTTTTATGAGAGGTTAATCTACCTTGCTTGACTTCATTCCTATGTATTTATAGTGATAACATCCCTTGGTAGAAAGTTGGAGACTGCTGGTAGTATGAAAGTTGCAACAAACCAATCAATATGCAACAACCATCTAAGCCTTATATGGGAGAATTAAGCCATAAAGTTGATTTAAATAAATAAGATCACCACATAGAAGCTTTTCTCTTAGTATGCTGCAATCCTTGATTTCTCCTAACTATCTCCAATACTCTGCATTTAACAAAATGATGTTATCAAGAAACAAAACACTTGCCTACATGAATGACACATGGCACCATCCTATTTGCTACACAATTGAGTGTAAACATTGTCCCCCCTAATTTTTGGCCTTAAAGTAATAGGTGCCAAAAATTTAACGACCTTTGTGACAGTACCAATTTCTTTGTGCCTTGTGTCCCACGTTACAAGCTTCAAATTTCTTCAAGGGCTCCCTTCTTCTTTTTCCTTTTTTTACTTTCTTTCTATCATTCTTTTCTCTTTTTTGTTGCCCTAAAAAACATACTCACTTTGTTCACATGCAATGACTCCATCAAATACTATTGCTTTATTCTCTTTCTTTAATTGCATCATCTTTTCTCTAGAAGAAAACGCTAGCCAAGCAATTAACCCACACCAACAATATATGTATGTTGAAGATTAATTCCTTCCTAACACCCTTTTTACACAACTATCATAACAAGGCCATATTGACTCCAACCACCCCATGTCATCGTTTTTGCATGAATTTGGCAATCTCTATGAAGAAATTTCTAGAAGTATTAGAAAAAAATTCTTCTTTTTGATTAAACAAAATTCATGGTTTCTAACAATTCTTTAAGTTTAGGTCCTATTTTGAGGGAACCCTTCCCTAGCTCTTTACGCCTTCATTATCTCCAACTAAGTAAACTTTTACTGCCTTTCGAAACTAAGCCAAATTAGAGTGAATGGCTAAGGTGTGTGGTTGCTTGGCCCATGGTGATCCCAAGAGAGTGGCCAGCATGGATCAAATGCTCAAAGCCTCACTTCACAAGCTCGTGGAAGATTGTTGGACTCTTTGAATGCATCTAGATGACCAATTCCTCATTGCCTTTAGATAAAAACTTACTAGCAACAACTTTATATTTCTAGTCATGCTCTTACAACTACTTTTACTCTCCTTTTGATGTCATGTCTATTATTCTATTAGATGTTTGTTAATTGATTAGTCTTAGAAGAGGTTTCAGCTTTGTTACTAGCTATACTTAAGAAATAGTATGACGCCTGTAACACTAGAATATCCTTTTTGGCTTCCAAGGGAGTTCAATACATATCTCCAAGGATAAGGATCTAGATTTGAAAGAAAGTGTCTCCTTTTTATTATGCTTAATCTGCACATTTATGGTTTGCCTTATTACAAAATGTGTTGCCAAAGGATTTATCCCACTTGTTGTTGGTTTAACACATGGTAAAAAATTTAGCTTATGCTTGGATATATATATATATCGTGGCTACTATGATGTTATAATCAATCCATTTTGGAGATTCAGTGGTGCTTTCGAGTCTTGTAGATGTGGTTTTACTCTTACTGTCTTACTATTGCCCTTAAATTTAAGAAGGCTAATGATGTAAACTTATTGACTTATGGGATGCACTTTCAAAATGTTAAGAAGTTGTAAAAAATCTTTAAGACATACTTCAACCATTTTACCTCCTTCTCAATTGACTGATGAAGTGTAGATTTTTAGTTTTTTTTCAAAAGAAGTATGGCCTATAATGGTATAAAGTTGACAAAGATAATTATGAATTCAAGATTTGTTGGAAAGTAAAAAGAACAAGGGATGATTATGGAGGCAAACTCGTTGTATGTCACACCTATAGACTAGAGGAACCCAATAATAGAATATTTAAGAAATCTCAATTCTAAGGCATCAAGGAGAATGAGGATGCAAGCCTCAAATTATGTGCCATTGAGTGATGTTTTGTATTGTAGAAGGACTAATAAATTATTGTTGCATTGCCTTGGTCTTGATGAAAGTCACCAGGTCATGTCTAATGTTCATAATAATATTTGTAGTGCTCACTAGGTAGGGATTAAGGCATGGTTTCTTTTGGTCATTTATCCTTAAAAATGTATTAGTTCTGCAAATGGTTGCAAAGCTTGCTAGTTCCATGTTCCTTTGCATTGAACACCAACAACTAAATTACATTCTATTGTCAAGTCATGGCCTTTCCATGGTTAGGCAATTAATCTAATTGGAGAAATCTATTTGCCTTCTTCCAAAGGCCACTCTTTCATAATTGTTGTGGTAGACTACTTTACTAAGTGGGTGGCAACAAGGCTTATGAGAAAGGTTGAGTAGGGGAATGTCATCAAGTTCACAAAGGCGGATTTAATCCAAAGATTTGGCCTTCTAAAGACTATCACCTTTGATAAAGGTATTACCTTTATTAGATCTTATCAAGTGGAGGCTTTTACAAAAGACAAGGGATTTCACTTGCTTATCTCAACTATACATTATGCACAAGAAAATGGGCAAGTGGAGGCATCCAATTGTCATTAACATCTTCGAGAAAATGGTAGATGATAATCCAAGAAGGTGGCATGAAATGGCAAGGTTGGTAGCATTAGATGCAATGAAGGCTTAGAAGTTTAGAGTGGCATGAGCTTATAACAAAAGAGCCAAACAAAAGAAGTTGGTTAAAGGAAGCTTGATTTGGAAAGTTGTGTTGTCACTTGGCAAGAAGAATCCTAAATATGGTAAATGGTATCCTAATTGGGAAAGACCATTTCAAGTTCATAATGTTTTTAAAGGAGATGATTATCATAAAGTTCTTAAAGGAGATGCTTATCAGTTGAAATCTTTGAATAAGGAGTTGTATCCATATAAGATCAATGGCATTTACTTGAAACCTTACCATCTAACTATGTGGGAAGCACGTTGCAAACACGTCCCCATGTTTGCATAACTTAGGTTGGCAAGCATTTGTATATAATTTTAGTTGCTTTTCCTTTAATAAATGCAATAAAAACATGAAGAGTTGTGACCTAGACTATGAAAGCACACATTAGATTAGGTGTTGCTAAAATAGCATGCTACATTATTATTTAAAGCAATTTTGTTTACAAAGTTGTGGGCAACATAAATATAACAACAAAGAATCAAAAGGCAAAACATGCAAGCAAATTCATCCATTTATCATCCATTATAAAAGACAAAATTCAAAAGAAGTTCGAAGACATGTTTAAGCTGCAAATGACCATGATAAGATGAATAAATGCTCAGAAAATATAAAAATTAGCAAAGATTCTGTTTCCAACTAGCCCACTCATCTCCCATTTGTTGAAGTGTCGTGTTGGCCTCTTCTACTCTTTTCCTACAGTGCAACCTTCCTCTTTATTGTTAGTGCTTCATGCTATTCTTTTCTAGCTCTTTTAAAGGTTTGGTTTTCTTAGCTTTAAGGGATTTAAGGCTAGGTTCTTCTTTTGTTATTTTTCTTAGTACCAAAGTGTGCCTTTAGTCTAGCAATCTTATTCAAGTTGTCTTGATGTTGTTTTGTTTGGGTGGTAAAAGCATCTTTTACCTTTTCATAGGTATCTTACTTCTTCTTTATCGCTTCTCTTTGTTGCCAAGCAAGGATTGCAGCTATGGATGCACTTG